GGATATCTATTGGTCCCCCCGATAGCTACCCGATTGGTCCCTGATATATGCCTGAAATATGGATTTCGACCTGTGAAAAAAACTCATATAACCGATTTATATTGTCAAAATTTTGGTATAAGATTATTACATTATCGGAATAAATTGGAACTTGTCAATATTCAAAAATCTTTACAAGTTGCTAAAGTATAGAATTTGGATAATGAAACAAATTCTGAAGATGGAAATAATTCTGATAAAAATTTTCAGGATAGTTATACTTCTGATATAACAATGATTCCAGAATTAGCAGATATCATAGACGAATATTTAGATAATCTGGGAACTAATAGACAAATTCTAAAAAATCAAATAAAAAGAGCTACAGGACAGATTCGTCGTAAATATACAAATCTCCAAACTGACCAAATCAATGAACAACGGACAAGATACAATGCTGAGGCAGAGCGGGATTTGTGACAAACCAATTTGGATAATGTCTTAAATGATCTTAACTTGATGACAACGGCATATCACTGGTCGAAAATTGATAAAACATACACATATCAGGTACCCGATATGTGCATGGTGTTTCCCTAATATCGGGCATATATCGGGTACCCGATAAGTGTAGAAAATATTTTTTTACACTTATCGGATACCTGATATATATATAAAATATTTTCTACACATATTGGGTACCCGATATATACCCGATATTAGGGAAACACTATGCACATATCGGATACCCGATATGTGTATGTTTTATCAATTTTCGACCAGTGTATAACAATAAAAGAAATACATGTCAATAGTATTTTTTAGAATTACAACAATGTTATATCAGAATAGATACGTTAGGAAATAATTTATATTTATGTGATATTCAGCTCGATCTTAAATGGGGTAAGTGGAAAAATAGAACTCGAAATGCTAAGCAATTAATTTTAAATTTGCAGAGACAAATTTTATTACTACAGAATAATTAATCAAATATGACAACAATTGTAGATATAATGTAAACAATAATATCACTTCTTACTAATATTCCACAATATATAGGGCAAGAACATCTAGAAGAATATTATAAAAAAATTTTACAAATATTCGAATATACAGAACCAGTCATAGCTAGTGCCAATGCTAATGTTAATAATACATTTGTCGATGCAAATAAATGTGATATTTTAAAAATCAAAATGGCTGAAAAATACACTCCAGTACCTGGAAATGATTCCTATACTGCAAGAAATTCAGCTATAAATACTCCAGATACCTTTTTAGCATGGTTAAAAGGAAAGTATAGTACAGAAACAGTAGGAAACAAACGGATAGCTAAAAGATTCTTATTACAGGAACAATTCAATTCAACTGATACACCAGATATGTATAGAGAAAGAATAAGACCATATTTAACCTATATACCATATACGTGTTACCCAAATCCCAAATCATTTGGAATTTGGGACGCCAAAATCCCAAATTACTAGTATTTGAGATTTGGGATTTGGAATTTCGGCAAAAAATACTAATCATAATTTGGGATTTGGGATTTGGGATTTCGGCATTTGGGATTTCGGCATTTGGATTTTGAATTTGGGTAGCAGGTATAATATACCATATGCTGATCTATTACCATATCTTTATAACCATTTATCTGAAAATATTGAAGTTCGAATGAGAATGAATTCACCTGTAGATATTAATGCTTTTTTTAATAGTCTTATTACAATTTGTCGTAAATTAAATCAAAAGTAAGTTTTTCAGGTTAGACAAAATAAAAAATATCAACAAAATGTCAGTATTATACCACAACTTATAGTTTCACAACCACCAATTCAGAATTTTCAAAAAATGCTTCAAGATGAATTTAATAAACAGTAAGAATTATTAAAAAAACAACAAACAGAGTACAAAGTTGAAATAGAAAAATTGAAAGTCAAACTCCAATCACAAAAAGTGCAGAAAACACAGGTACCAGTTTCACAAACCATTAAACCGGTTAGACAGTCAAGAAGCCCCCCATCAAATTTAAAAATGGAAGAAGATTATAAAAATTATTATGTAACGAAATACTTTAACGATTTAGGAATATATAGTAAAGAAGATTTAGATTCAAATTATTCTGAAAAACCTTTTCAAAGACCTCGTACACAGCAAAAAGTTAACTCTACTAGATTAGAGAAAAAAGTAGATAAAATTGAGAATATATTATCTTATCTTAATATAAATAATCAATCCCAAAAACCAGTAGCCAAATTAAATCGAACACAATGATATTATCTTTTTCAACTAATAAATTCTAGTGTTTTAGCTAATGAAGAAGGTAATGAGGATAGATATGATGAAGAAAAAGATATATGGTATAATTCATCAGAAAAAAAAAATTGATATCAAAAACATATAATGAATTATTTTCAAAGCTTTCACCGCTAATGTGAAAAATGTGCTAGTCTCATATAGTTCAGAAGAAAGAATCAGATAAGTAGTTTTCATCTCTACAATACTTGAATGTTAGTATAAATGATTTATCTATTTCTGAATCATTTTTAGATAATGGAAGTGAATTTAGAGCCTTGAATGATATATACCTGCCACCCAAATTCAAAATCCAAATGCCGAAATCCCAAATGCCGAAATCCCAAATCTCAAATCCCAAATT